CCCATCACGTAGTGGGGTATTGATATTGTGGGACCTCTACCTCGAGGGAACGGTCAATGTTGCTTTGTGGTAATAACTATTGATTATTTTACCAAATGGGCAGAAGCCGAAGCACTAGTCACGATTTCTGAAAAGCAAATTGTAGAAAAATCCATTGTATATTGGTTTGGAGTTCCACAGGCCATCGTCTCTTACAATGGAAAACAATTCGACTCGAACGGCTTCCATAGTTTTTGCTCTAACATTGGCATAAGAAATCATTTCTCATCTCCTAGGCATCCCTAGTCCAATGGTAAAGTTGATGTCACCAATTGAACTCTGCTCCAGAATATCAAGATCAAACTTGAAGAGAAACAAAGTCTGTGGGTTGAGCTCCCCCACGAAGTTTTATGGGCATATCGAACTAACCCCAAGAAAGCCACAAGGGAAAGCCTTTTCATATATTGACATTTGGGACAGAAGCAGTCATTTCAACAGAAATAGGCCTTCCTTCACATAGAATCCAAGATCACACCCCTAGAGTAATGAATAGAAGCTNGTGTCACCAATTGAACTCGGCTCCAGAATATCAAGATCAAACTTGAAGAGAAACAAAGTTTGTGGGTTGAGCTCCCCCACGAAGTTTTATGGGCATATCGAACTAACCCCAAGAAAGCCACAAGGGAAACCCTTTCATATATTGACATTTGGGACAAAAGCAGTCATTTCAACAGAAATAGGCCTTCCTTCACATAGAATCCAAGATCACACCCCTAGAGTAATGAATAGAAGCTTAGGGCGAACCTCGATGCTCTATAAGGAACCAAGGATAAGGCCATTCTCCGAATAACTTCTTACCAACAATGGACTACAATAAAAGGGTAAAAGAGAAGAAGCTCAAGGAGAGGGACCTCGTGCTCAAGAGGGAGTCAACAGTAGAAAAAAAAAATTAGGTACTAGCATAAGGATACTACTACCCCATAATGGCTAAAGATGCACTGGCACTCGTTAGAAATTATGACAAATGCCAAAGGTTCGAATATATCCAATATACCCCCCTCACAAGATCTAAGCTCAGTTCCCAATCCTTGGCTCATCGTGCAGTGGGTTATTGATATTGTGGGACCTCTACCTCGAGGGAAAGGTCAATGTTGCTTTGTGGTAATAGCTATTGATTATTTTACCAAATGGGAAGAAGCCGAAGCACTAGCCACAATTTATGAAAAGAAAATTGCATATTTCATCTGGAAATCCATTGTATATTGGTTCAGAGTTCCAAAGGCCATTGTCTCTTACAATCGAAAACAATTCGACTCGATTGTCTTCCATAGTTTTTGTGGGACCTCTACCTCGAGGGAAGGATCAATGCTGCTTTATGGTAATAGCTATTGATTATTTTACTAAATAGGTAGAAGCCAAAGCACTAGCCACGATTTCTGAAAAGAAAATTGTAGATTTCATATGGAAATCCATTGTATATTGGTTTAAAGTTTCGCATGCCATCATCTCTTACAATGGGAAACAATTTTACTCGAGTGGCTTCCCTAGTTTTTGCTCTAACCTTGGCATAATAAATTATTTCTCATCTCCTGGGCATTCCTAGTCCAATGGTCAAGCCGAGGTCACCAATCGAACTCTACTTCAGAATATCAAGACCAAACTTGAAGAGAAACAAAGTCTGTGGGGTTGAGCTCCTCCACGAAGTTTTATGGGCATATCACACTACCCCCAAGAAAGCCACAGGGGAAAGCCCTTTCATGCTGGCATTTGGGAGTGAAGCAGTCATTCCAGCAGAAATAGGCCTTCCTTCACATAGAATCCAAGATCGCACCCTAGAGTAATGAATAGAAGCTGAGGATGAATCTCGATGCTCTAGAAGGAACCAAGGATAAGGCTGTTCTTTGAATAACTTCTTACTAGCAACGAACTACAATAAAAGGGTAAAAGATAAGAAGCTCAGGGAGGGGGACCTCGTGCTCAAGAGGGAGTCAACAGTAGAAAAAAAGAGGTTATATCCAAACTAGGTAGGGAGTATATTTTTATCAACGAGGTTCGACCCGGGACTTATCAATTAAAGACCTCCCAAGGGAAATTACTCCCTTATTCATGGAATGTGGAACATCTCAAGAAGTACTATGTTTGATTGTGAATCTGTTCATATTATAATGAAAGTCAGATCTCTTCTACCATTTATTCCTTTGCTGTCAAAAACAAAAGAGGTAAAAGCCCATGAAGGAGAAATCCCACCAAGGCAAAAGCCCTCCAAAGCAAAGACCCACCAAGGCGAAAGACCCTAGGGTGAAGGCTCATCGAGGCGAGAGCCAACTCAAACCGAGGCAAGAACTTGGTGAAGCAAAGTCTCACCAAGACAAAAACCCACCAAGCAGATCAACCAGCTTGGAATAAGGGCACCAAAACTCCAAAAATAATAGACAACCAAGCCAAACAAGTACGACAAACTCTAAACTTGTATTTTTTTATACTCTATGTTGGAGAACGGATGTCGGATGTCAATTCCTAGACATAGAATATTTTTTAGATTTTATACTCTAGGAAGGAGAAAAGTTGTTGGATAAACATGGAGTATTTTTTACATTTTATACTCTACAATGAAGAACGGTTGTTGGATAAACTTGGAATATTTTCTAGGTTTTATACTCTACATCAGAGAACTGCTGTTGGGTGTCAATTCCTAAACTTGAAATATTTTTTAGATTTTATACTCTACATCGGATGACAATTCCTAACAGAATGTTTTTTGAATAACATGCTCTAGTTCAGACCGCGGTTATTAGTGGCACTAAGTTAACTCCCAAACTTAAAATATTCATGATTCCGACCTCTTTTACTTAGAATCTATTCATTCATACTAGTTCGAACAAAAGAGTCCAGTCTTGACAATCATCACTTTAAAATGATCCTAGGCGAACATCAATTTGGCAGGAGAAAGATAAACATTAGATAACCTCACTACGACATGCAAATCTACATCCAATTCCAAGTGGTACATCGTGTCTTAATTATATGAATGTTGTGCTTTCTATTTCTTAGACATTGTATGACATGTAAACTCAGTGTCAAAGTATCAAGTCATCTTCAATATCACAATATATATACATAAGATTTTTCAATAACATATTAATTTCTAGATAATCAACACAACCTAAATCAAAACCATAGAAATTCAATTCACTCAAACTAAATTTTAGTCATAAATCAAGATCGCAATATATAGGATCCAATACATTTCACAATTACAAAACCCAACCCACAAGGCTAACATAGAAAATCTATGGTAAATTGATTTACCATGACATATACCACTTAATTGGGACAATCTAAGAGACCCAACGGAAAATCAAATATGATATTTGATGGAACAATCAGTAAAGAAAATATATATGTCAGAGGGTTATGATAGTCTAGAGTGCAGAGCTCAGTATTCGGAGTGCAACAACTACTAGACTTTGGTCTTGTCAAAAGAAACTAAATGTAGGGGATCAGTGTGGTCTCAGTTGAACTATCTCCGATGTCAAAGTTAGTTTGACAGAGTCTATAAAGTATTCGTTTTAAGAGAGAGAGAGAGAGNCGGTTATGATAGTCTAGAGTGCAGAGCTCAGTATTCGGAGTGCAACAACTACTAGACTTTGGTCTTGTCAAAAGAAACTGAATGTAGGGGATCAGTGTGGTCTCAGTTGAACTATCTCCGATGTCAAAGTTAGTTTGACAGAGTCTATAAGGGATTGTATAGTGTGGGTTGATCGCGTTTTTAGTTTTAAGAGTAATGATTAGGAGTAATCATTCATGGTTGCATGTCTAGAAAGCTAATGTCGTGCAAGAGCCTTCAGCACTAACGTGCGCTAGGTATGCTAAAGCTCATGTGTGGTGTCAGGAATGTGAAATTCTTCTTGACTAGAGACATGCAAGGGATGGCTAACGTACCCCTATCATTTTATTTAGTTGTGTCGATCAACGACCTCCGAGGTTTGGACTATATCCATCGGTAGCCCCCCGATTCCTTATGACCTCTTGGGTTGTTGAGAATTTATTCGGTTGGTCCTGTATCCTTGGCTCACTTTCGACGGTTGAGATGATTAATCTTTTTTGGATTTTCTTAGATTTTGAAATGAAGATTTTAAAGTGATGATTACATTAAGATTCAAATTTTGTCACTAAATCACATGAAAAATAACCTCACAATCCCTCAAGATTTGCTCTTGTACATCACATAACCTCGACCGTTAAAATTCGTTTGCTAAACTGTGAAACTTTGATAAACGATTATATTTTTCTCATTAAATTCCAAAACTACCCATAGTTGGCACAATAATAAAAACTCAATAATTATTTTTTTAAAACCCCAACAAATTAGATACATATACCTTTAAACTTTATCCACTGCCAAAATCCAACCCAAAAACCTTAAATTACCACCTACAGCCATCACTGACCAAAATCCCAACCACTGCCACCATTGAAAATCCTTCCATCAATCCAAAAACCCTATACAACCACCTACCACCACCAAAAAATATATACTATTGGACTTAAAAGTTATATGCTGGTTCGATTTCCTAAGATTCACCATCACCGGCCAAAAAATTAGGAAAGACCTTATAAACTAAGAAAATTAGGAAACATTTCACGTTTGGTTAAAAAATGGTGCTGTAATCAAACCTAATAAAATTTAAAATTAGAAGAGTCTCTTCATATTGCAGAAGTCCAACACTCAAGTCTTCCCCTCATATCATCCTTGATCCTCCAATTTTCAACATAAGATTGTTAGGAGAATAATAATATCACAAACCATTCATGAGAGAACAACATGAAGAAAAGGAAGAGGGAGGTCCATGGGGCCACGAATCGAAAGAGACGTGGATCAATTACAAAAGCTCAGAACAACATTGGTAGTTTCACAATCCCAATTAGATAGAGGAAATTCAGTTCACACGATACTTCTGTTCCGCCCACAAGAGGAGCAAAAAAACCCTCCACAATCCATAAAATGTATGTATACAAAGTTTGGAATCATAAGAACAAACCTGAGGACGAGGGAGAATCTGAAGGCAGGCAAAGAAAATGAGCAGGAAGAGATAAGGCATACCTCGAAGGGGTTGGCAGCGGCGGCGGTGGTGGTGTCGCTGGAGCGTAACNTTATGTATACAAAGTTTGGAATCATAAGAACAAACCTGAGGACGAGGGAGAAATTGAAGGCAGGCAAAGAAAATGAGCAGGAAGAGATAAGGCATACCTCGAAGGGGTTGGCAGCGGCGGCGGTGGTGGTGTCGCTGGAGCGTAACAAAGAGAGAGAGAGAGAAATAAATGGTAAGGAGTAAAAAAAAAAGAAGAGACGGTTGGGCAAAAAAAAAAGAGGAAACAGAAGTGATGGTTGTCTGACAGAAAGGACAAAAAAAAAAAAGAGACGGAGGGGAGGCGGTNAATAAATGGTAAGGAGTAAAAAAAAAAAGAAGAGACGGTTGGGCAAAAAAAAGAGGAAACAGAAGTGATGGTTGTCTGACAGAAAGGACAAAACGGAGGGGAGGCGGTGACAGGTGAGGTGACCGAGAGACATCAGTTTTTTGAAAATAATTGTGGACGAAAAATGATGAATTTGGGAGGAAAATAGAAGAAAGATTGATAACCATCGGATGAAATGAATTGTGATTGTACGATCAGCTTATTGAAGTCCGTTGTGTTTTATATTATAGATTTATTGAAATAAATTTGAAAACAAATATCTAATTTATTCTTAAAAATCATAATTAGTATGTAATTATATTATTTATTGAAATAAAACTAAAAAATCAAAAAAGGGATCAAACTGTAATAGACACAATATTTTTTAACTTTAATTGAGGTAATTTGGTAGTTTAATTTAGTTATTTAAATAACCAAATTAAATTCTAATAAATAGTATAATTGTATACTAATTATGAATTTTTTTAAAAAAAATTAATTTTTTATTTTTTATTTTGTTTCAATAAATGTCATAATAGAACACGAATTTTTATTGTAAAATTTAAAATATTTGATATTCTAATTTTGATTGAAGTATTTTTAGTCTAAATATAATATTTTAAATTTGGGGAGCCTAAGTATTACACGCCTACAAATTTTAAGGGGTTTGAGTGTAATTTATTAATAGATTTAATAACGGACATTGACGGTAGGGGTGCAAGTATTACACGCGTACAAATCTTAGGGATTCTATATGTAATATTTAAAATATTAGAGGATTTAAGTAATTAAGTGACAAACCTAAAAAATCTCGATGCAGTTCTCTCTAGAAAAAAGAATAAAGAAGAATGTTCAAAACACTTCCGCTAGAGCATACAAATGAATTGTCAAAGAGATTCTTCCACCCGACTGTTGAAAAAAACATATTCTTTAACAAAATTGTTAGTTTGTAACTTCAATTTATTTGACTACAAAAAAAAAAAAGCTTCAATTTATTTAGATAATTTTGGTGTTTAACATTTGTTTTTGTTGGATAATAAATACATTTTACGAAAATACTAGATTGATCAAATTTTAAAAGACAAATATATGGTCTAAATAATGTGACAAATTCACACAACTAAACCAGATATAATTGAACCCTTATTCGTATGAGCAATGCTATGTATTCGTACAGGGTGAGAAATTGTTGAACTCATGTAGGCCACCAAACCCAAATTTAGGCCTCAAATTTGGTCAAAGTTACCATACTTATTAAATTTCATCTTTAATGGTTTGTTTTATGGTAATGATGAAAAAAAAAAGGGAAAATTTCATCCACACCCCCTCTAGTTAGGTATAAATNGTGGTCAAAGTTACCATACTTATTAAATTTCATCTTTAATGGTTTGTTTTATGGTAATGATGAAAAAAAAGAGGGAAAATTTCATCCACACCCCCTCTAGTTAGGTATAAATTCATAGACACCCCCTACCTATTCTGAATCTTCACTGCCACCTCCTATCAGACATTGTCTGGTAACGGCGTTAATGGCTAGGGTTAATTTATAAAAATAACCCTCAGTATTTTATACTTAATATGTATGTATACATATTTAACCTATACTACTAACTATGGTTATGTTTTGTTAACCTTACCTATTTATTAAACCTAACCCAGCCCAAGCATCTCTGTGCATTCCTTGGTTAATGGTTTGGTCTAATGCACGAACAGAGAGAAAACAAGAGAGGGGGGAAGAAACGAGGAAGAAAATTGTTGAAGGCTTGGAAGATCTTTGCGATTCCAAACATCAAATGGTTTGAAGAGTTCCTATCGAAGATTCTGTCATTTTTTGTTTTGTTCATCTTTTATGGATTTGGGGGTTTTGTTCATCTTTATCGTCTAAACATAGTTCAGGGTTAGTGACAGAGAACATAGTTGAGTAAGGGTTTGAACATAGTTCATCTTTTTTTTTTTTACATTTTTTGTATCTAGGGTTTATATTTTACGGATTTGGGGGTTTTATTCATCTTTTATCCTCATATTGAACATAGTTCAGGGTTTTCTAATGCATTCTCCATAGATATTGAGTAAGGGTTTGGATAGACTTCGATTTTTTTTTACGCTTTTTGTATCTAGGGTTTATATTTATTTTATGGTTTTGGGTGTTTTGTTCATCGTTTATCCTCATAGTTCAGGGTTTTCTAGTACATTATCCATAGATATTTGAGCCTATGACAGTGTTGAAATTAGGTTTCAATTTTTTACGTTTTCAAAAAATCCTTCTTGTTTAAGACTTGCTACATAGATGATTTTCTTCATTTTTTGAATGTGCAATTGTGTTTGAAATTGTTGTTGAAATGGCTGCTAAGTTTATTGACTTGTTCATACACTTTGATGGGCAACAGTACATGGCACAGAGCGTTGACCCAGATAAATATTGTCATGTGCACCTATTATCAGATGTATTTATGTTGTGTTCATCAGCATTGACCTTTGTGTTCAAAATATATTGTGAATTGCCTGGTTCAAATGACAGAATGTTATTAGATGATGACAAAGATGTAATGGAGATGTTTAGTAGGCACAATAATAGAAAACACATAAACATACATGTTATTCCACAAGAAATTGGAAACATTGTTGTTAATAGAAACAGTATGGCCAATGTGGAGCATGTGGAGAGTTTGGCCAGTGTGGAGAATCAAGGGAATGAAGAAGCTAAAAATAGTGATGATTTTGATTTTGAATATGATGATGTATATGGAATTAGGTCTGAAGATGAAGAGTATGGAGAATAGCATAATACCATAGATGAAGAGTTTAGGGTAGATACCGATTTAAACAATGATGATGGGTTGTTAGACTATGCATCTGGGGATGATGATTATATTAATTCCAGCTCTGAGTCAGATGACAATGTGGACAAAGCAAGACACAAAGCTACTATAAGGACATTTTACATGAATAGATATGGGAGAGAGTTTGCAATACAGCCTGATGGGATAGTGCAGGTAGAGGTTGGTCAACTGTTTATGGATATTCATCACTTTAGGGAGATTTTGAAAAAATATGTTGTGCAAGAGGGATTTCAGCTTGTAAGGGATAAAAATGAGAGGAAAAGGATTACTTGCCATTGTGGAAATGGGGGCTGCAATTGAAGGATCCATGCATCTCCACTTCCTGATGGTGTTACATACAGTATTAAGACATTAAGAGGTCCACACACATGTGTCAGAAATAGTTACAGTACTGAGGCAACATCTAGTTGGCTTACTAAGAAATTAGAAAATGAAATACGTAGTAATCCTGAAATGAAAGTACTTGCTCTTCAAGAAACAATCAATGCTAAGTTGCACATAGAAATAGATTTGCAGAAGTGCTATAGAACAAAGAGGAAAGTACTAGATGACATTGATGGGAATCATGGAGAAGCTTATGAGAAAGTTAGGTAGTATGGAAATGAAATCATTCGAAGTAATCTGGGTAGTCTTGTTGCCATAGAAACTGATGATCAAAATGCAGATGGTAAGAGGCCTTTCAAGAGGATTTTCATAGCTTTTAATGCTCTTAGTAGAGGGTTTATCACTGGATGCAGACCAGTCATAGGCCTCGATGGATGCCATTTGAAAGGGCTATATGGTGGTGTTCTATTGTCTGCTATTGCCCTAGATGCTAACAATGGTCTTTTTCCTGTTGCAGTTAGTGTACTGGAGAGTGAGAGGTATGATAGTTGGAATTTCTTCATTAGTCATTTAGCAGAACTCATTGGAAACCATGCATCTCCACTTTGTTTCATGTCTGATCAACAAAAGGTATGTAATGTTATTACTGCATTTTTTTACTAATATTACTGTTTTGTTTGTACTGTTATTACTACATATTTTTAACTGCTATTACTACATTTTTGTTAACTGCTATTACTTCCACATGCATTGACTGGCAGGGACTTGAACATGATTTTGAAGAATAAATTCCCAGATGCTAGTCATAGAAGGTGTTGTAGGCATTTATTTTGCAACTTTAAGGCAAAATTTCCTGGTGTTTTGCTTAGAAGGTTATTTTGGAAAGCAGCTAGAGCATATAATGAAGAGGACTTCAATGAAGCTATGCTAGAGGTGAAGTCCAAGTCTCTAGATGCATACCAATGGATGAGTAGGCTGCCATGTAGTTGTTGGTCTAGGCATGCATTTGATACCAGAATTAAGAGTGATCATGTGACCAATAATTTAAGTGAATCTTTCAATAGTTGGGTAGGATCTTTGAGGTCAAAGTCTATTCTTAATTTGTTGGATGGCATTAGGACTAAATTTATGACTAGGATTCAGTAGAGGCATGACAGGGGCAACAGTGGGGAAGGGTTAGTGATAGAAATGTCAGAAAAAAAACTTAACAAAATCATTGCTAAGTCAAGATCATGTTCTGTAGTGCATGCAGGTGGAATGCAGTATGTAATAATGGATAATGGGATANCGTTAATGGCTATGGTTATGTTTTGTTAAACTTACCTATTTATTAAACCTAACCCAGCCCAAGCATCTCTGTGCATTCCTTGGTTAANGGTTAATTTATAAAAATAACCCTCAGTATTTTATACTTAATATGTATGTATACATATTTAACCTATACTACTAACTATGGTTATGTTTTGTTAACCTTACCTATTTATTAAACCTAACCCAGCCCAAGCATCTCTGTGCATTCCTTGGTTAATGGTTTGGTCTAATGCACGAACAGAGAGAAAACAAGAGAGGGGGGAAGAAACGAGGAAGAAAATTGTTGAAGGCTTGGAAGATCTTTGCGATTCCAAACATCAAATGGTTTGAAGAGTTCCTATCGAAGATTCTGTCATTTTTTGTTTTGTTCATCTTTTATGGATTTGGGGGTTTTGTTCATCTTT